GCTGTGGGAGTTTAACCAGCCCTTTAGAATGCAATGGGTGGGGTGTTGGTAAAGGAACATTAAAATAGTTAGAAACTCCAATAAGTTGAAAGAAATCTGAACACTCAAGTATCTATGTGAGTGGAAGGTCTGAACAAGGAACAAGAGTTAAAAAACAAAAACATTCATTGTGACGCTCATCTGTAAAGGCGAACAGAACCTAAGTAAACTCCATAACTTGTTGAAACGAGAGTTCAGAGTTATTAGTTTACATCTCTGGACACTAATATGTTAAAACCAATTTCTTTGTGTTTATTTTTAAGCTAAGGTTTAAAAATAGTCCAAATCTATGAATACATGGCAATAAAGGAACATCAAACAGTCCCAGTTGTCTGAAAGCCACGGGGAGTTCAATTACCGAGTGGAGCCTATAAATCAGCCCTCTCCCCACTGCAGCGGGTCAGTGATAATGGCCGTCCCCTCAGCCCGCTTCACCCCACGCCGTGCTGTCGGGTTTTGTCAGGAAACAAGGGGAGAGAACAAAAAAGAAAAGAAAAAAAACCCTTTATTCTCAATTACCCCCAAAGCCCCCGGCTACAGAGCAAACACAAAGGAATCTAGCTTCATTAAAACCATCTCCGCCTGGGAAGAGCCAAGCAGGCTAATTTAGCAGCAGAGCAGAGACTCTGAGAGCAGAGATAGACTCACAAACATCTCACATTCAGGCCAAAAGAAAACTTTAGCAAGCGATAAAGCGTAGCTCAGTAGAAATGTTTACGTTTCTGGGTAAAAAGATAAAAATAGCTGCATTTAAAACCACCTGACAGCGACTCCTATTCACACCTGAAGGCAGAATTCAAGCTTGACAGACGGCTGTGCGGTTTATGTGAAACATTTAGGCTTCCACTTCTAAAAGAAAGGAATTTGGGGGAAAAGAAGACACTCATGGAGGGGGGGGGGTAAAGGGAAGGTAGAGATGCTGCCTGAGGGCCCCACTCACTGCAGAAAGCAGACACATACAGGAGGGGGTATGAGTGCGAGAAAAGAATATTTAAATTAGTATAAAAGCAGAGAAACTGTGATGAATGGGTGGGTGTAAAGGAAGACTGTGTTTAACTAGGCTGAATGTGATGAATCAGCTCTAATGGACGTTCTACTTCGTCTTAATTAACTAGAAGTATCTCTTCTGATGGAGATATTAGAATCAGAAATAC